GAGACCCCGAGACCCCCGGGGCACGAAATCCAGTGCAAGCGGGTAAGCGGATAGGTGGCGGCGGGGGGAGGGCCCGGGGCGGCGGAGGGAGGAAGGGAGGGGGAGGGAGAGGGGGAACTCGGGACTCGAGCGGGGCGGGAGTGGAAGGGGAGGAAAGGGCGGAGACTGGGTTGCGGGGAGCGAGGTGTCGGGGAGAGGGATGGGGGGGCCGGCGGAGCGCCGCTCGGGGCCGGGGTTCCCGGATCCGCTCCCGGGCGCCCCGGGAGGGGGTGGCGTCCCGGCGGGGCCGCCGCGGCTCCCGCCCTCCTTTGGGCGGGCTCCAGACCACCCTCTCCCCCGAGACTTGCCTTCAGCGCCCCTCAGCGCGGTCGGTCGGGCTTGCTCGGGCCCTCCGCCCCCATCTCCGAGCTGGGAGGCGGAGCCGGGGGGGGTGGCGGGTCAGGCCAGGACATGGGGTCAGGCCGAAGAGGGAGCCGCTGGGTGGGGATGGGAAACTTGTGGTCCCGGTGTTGGACCTGACTCCTGGGGGCGTGGGGGGGGCTGCGTGGTCTGGGTGGGGAGCTCAGTGCTGGGGGGGGCGCTGCCTGAAATCCAGGGTCCACTTTGCCCTCCCTCCTCCCCCCTCCTCCCCAGGTTCGCAGCGAGAGCTGTGGAATGCACGAATTCACTTGGAAAGTGGTTAATGCCCAAGTGGGGGTCCGGGGTGCTAATCCCCTGGGCCGGGGGAGAGATGCTAATCCCCCCGGGCGGGTTGGGGCTGGCCCCGGGAATGTGCCCCCACCCGGATTATGGGCCTTGGTGCTCTGGACAGAGGCTGCTTTGTGTTCTGGGACAGCGGGGGGGGGGGAGGAGTGGGGGGGCGTGGAGAGGAGGAGGGGGTGTGGACGAGTGCAGAGGACACAGCCCGCGGTGGGAAGCACCTGCGGGGTGCTGAGGCCTGCCTCCCCACACCTTCTCCGATGGCGTTTCCTCCCAGGACGCTTCTCCCCCATGCTAGCCGAAGGCCTGCCGAGGGGGAGGTGGGGAAAGCAGTCAGCTGAGTTGGGGTGCCTGCCAGGAACACGTCACTCAGGCTCACCCTGGGTTGACACCCCCCCACACACCATTATTCTTTGACCCTATGCCGACCTACCTATCTTATCCCTAAATAGCTTCAAGTCGAACAACCCCAACCTCCAACATAGAAGGATCGTCCTGTTAATACCTACAGAGACCCTGCTGGCTGTACTGCCACTAGGAATGGGTACCCCGATTGGCCCTGGTTGGGCTTCCTCCCTACGTCCCTTCTAACTGCTCCAACACCCCACCCCCAACCTTGTCCCCCTGTGTCCCCGACAGTCACCGTCAGGAGGAAGGCAGCCCTGCCACTCATAGTTTCCTGGCCCGGCTTGGGGAGGATGGGACTGCTTCTCAGGATTTCTGTGCCCACCCCCTCCAAGCCATCACATGCCCCTCCCCCACTATAAAGCTCTGTCCAGCCTGAGCCCACTCCTAGCCTTTCCTCCCTCCTACTGAATAAGTAGACCTAGACTTTTGCCCTTCTCCCGCTCTGCTTCTGTTGTGCCTGGGGGGCTGAGGAGGGGCACCTCCCTACCCACCTACCTTGGGGAAGGGGCATCCCCTCCCAACTAGCCAGCTTCTTGTTTGCCCTCTTGGGTTCTCCAGAGTTCTCTTTCTGTCTGTCTAGGCATCTGGCCCCCTTCTCCACCCCTTTGCTCGGCAGGGTGTCTCCCTCTCCACCACACCCCTCTCTGGTCTCAGGCCCACCTCCCGTCCCCCACGGCTGGGTTCCTGTTTCTGCCTGGCCCTTTACTCCCGTTCTTTCTTGGTTCCTTATCTCTCCCTCCCTCATCTCTGTTGCTTTCTCTCCTGGGCTGGGTCTTGACTCCTTCCTCCCTCATTTTTCTTGCAGCCTCTCCCCATTCCTCTGTCTCCTTCTCTCTGCTCTGTCTCTGGGCTCCTGGTGGCCCCCCTCACCTCAGTCTTCCTTTCTTCTCCCTCTGGTCTTCTCCATTCTGCCTAGAAATCTCTCTCCCCTCTTCTCTGGCCACCTCTAAGGGACCACTCTGAGGCCCTTCCCAGGCCAGGCACTGTCCCGAGCAACGAGTAGGCAGTGGCTGGGGGCTCCATTTCTCCTGGGGCCCTGTGCCCTGCCTGCATGGAGACCCTGCCTCTCCCCCACCCAGGTTATGCCTCCGCCTTGTTGCCCTGAAAGTCGAAGTGACAGCGAAAAGGGCTAAGATTTGGCCATGAGCAGCGCCCCCAGGCGCCCCGCCTCGGGCGGGGATTCCTTGCACATGGTGAGTACTGTGGTCACCGGCCTCCAGCTGGACCGGGTGCAGGGTGGGCGTTCAGAAGCCGGGAAAAGAGGCTGTGGTGGATTGGAGGGGAGATGCCACTCTGCACCCTGACCTTACGGGAGTGGGAAAGTGCTGGACTAGGTTAAGTGGGGGACAGGTGGCTTTGGTTTTCTGGGAGGGAGTTCAGGCGGTTTCCTGATGCCCTGCGTGGTAGTTTAGCTTCAGATGGACAGGAATTTTGGGTCTCATGCGGTGACCCCCCTCTGACCGGCGGTGAGGTGTTGCGGTCTGCTGCTGGGAGATGGTTACAGTGCACCACGGTTCTGGGCAGAGCTTGCTGGCTGTCTGGCACCGCCCAGGCCCCGCCCCTGATCCCCGGGTGCCACCTAGGCCCGCCCCCCACGTGGCCACCTCCCCCCTTGGTCCCCTCCTGATTTTCCTAAGAAGTCTAATGATTAACCTCGGGGCCACAATCAGTCCAGCCCAGCCTGGCATGTGACTGGGAAGGGGCCTGGCAGGTGCCCTCCTCCTGTCTCCCAGGTTCACCTCTGCCGCCATGGACTTCCTCCTGCGGCCTCAGGTGCGAGGGGTCCTTGACCCACCATTACCCTGCCCCCCCTCTCCCGGTGACTTGCTTCCGCCCTTGCTTCCTCTTGCCTGGCTGCTTCTGGTGGGAATGGGGCCGGTTGCCTGGGAAAGCCCGCTGGAGCTGCGGGGCTGGGCTGGGCAGAAGATGTCCCAGACCGAAGACTTTGTGCATCCTCTGCTGACCCAGGCCCTGCCAACTCCAGCTGCTTTGTGTGCGCCCCCACCCCTGCCCATCTCCCTAAGACCCACCCTTCTCCTCTGCCTCTTGGCTTTAGTGGCTGGCACTGTGGGGAGGGGACTGCATACCCCGCCCTTGGAGGTCCTGATGCCCTTCAGCTCCAGAAGCTCTTGAGCAAATATTTGCGGGCAGCGGGGAGCTGAGACCGGCGGGGGGTTGGGGGGGCTGGACCAAGACTAGGTAGCAGCCCTCCTCGCCAGGCTGAGCCGCGGGTGCGCTGCAGCTCCTGCCTTGCTCTGGCCCTGCTGGTGCTGTCTGCTGTTACACTCCTGCAGGATGACTCAGGTGGGGGGAGTGGGGGTGGGGAGAGGGGCGGGGCCAGATGGCTGATGAGCCAAGTGGGACCAGCAGAGGGGGTGCTTGCTGAAGTAATGAGGGGGGCTCTCTCAGCGAAGCAAGCACATACTTTCATGGCCACAGAGGGCTGGATTTGATCAGACCAACTTTGTACAGCAGCTAGCTTGGGTGCCTCCAGAAGTTACTTAGGGGGCTTAGCAGTTGTCCTGCAGCTGGAAGGAGTTTCTTCACTTTCCCCCCACTTACACGGCCCAGTCCACACACAACAGTGTCCCGGCTGCTGTGGGGAAGGGGGACTGGGTCCTGGCATTGAAGGGAAAGGCTGCTGGGGCTTGCTCGGTCCCTGTAGTGGCTGCCTGGGGAACACTGATCGGTGGCACTGGGCAGGCTGGGACCTGAGGTGTCATTCCCAGTGATGCCCTCTGTTGTCTTCACAGCCAGAACCAGAGAGCGTGGGCTCTGGGACACCAGGCTTCCCCCAGCAGGAGGAAGATGATCTTCACCGCACCCTGGGCGTAGAGCGGTTTGAGGAGATCCTCCAGGAGGCAGGCTCCCGAGGAGGAGATGAGCCGGGCCGCAGCTATGGGGAGGAAGACTTCGAGTGTGAGGAGGCAGTCAGGGGACCGGGAGGAGGAGGAGGAGGAGGAGGCTGGGGCTCAGTCGGACCTCCTTGCAGCGAGGGGGCTGGGTCCCAGTAGAAAGGGCTGCCATTAGCCACCAAGATGGCCGAGGAGGGAGCCCGTGCCAGCCAGCAGCCAAGCTCTCTTCCCCACAGACCACCGCCAGTCCTCTCACCACATCCACCACCCGCTGTCCACTCATCTGCCTCCGGATGCACGCCGCCGCAAGGCCCCTCAAGGCCCAGGACGGAAGCCTCGAAGGCGTCCTGGGGCCTCTCCCACTGGGGAGACCCCCACCATCGAGGAGGGGGAGGAAGATGAGGATGAAGCCAGCGAGGCTGAGGGGGCCCGGGCACTCACACAGCCGTCCCCTGCCTCCACACCCTCTTCGGTGCAGGTGAGTGGGGCCTGGGCTCTTGGTGCATGTTCAGAGAGACCCCGGCCTGGCCTCACCTTTCCTCATGGCTGTTCTAGTTCTTTCTACAAGAGGATGAAAGTGCTGACCGAAAGGCAGAGAGGACCAGTCCATCTCCCCCTATGCAACTTCCTCCTCAGGAAGCAGCTCACCGGGCCACCAAAGGAGCTCAGCCTGGGTAAGTGCCCCTTTGTTGACAGTGTCCCAAGAAGACACATCTTTTTTTCTCTTTCTTTTTTTTGTGGGTCATAGGGCTTGAACTCAGGGTCTGAGTGTTGTCCCTCAGCTCTTCACCTCAGAGCCTGTGCTCTATCACTGAGCTACAGCACCACTTCCAGTTTTCGGGTGGTTTATTGGAGATAAAGCATTTCACAGCCTTTCCTGCCCAGCTGGCTTTGAACCATGATCCTCAGATCTCAGCTTCCTGAGTTGCTAAGATTACAGGCGTGAGCCACTGGAGCCCGGCTAAGACACATCTTGTAGAAGAAGGAGACCATGCAGGAGAAAGCAAAGTTTGGGAGTCACTAGGCTGAGCTTCCGATCCTCGCCACCTCCCAGTATCTCTCTTGGAAGGTGATAGCATGAGACCGCTCTCATTGGCAGGGATTACAGGATGGTTTAGAAGTCTAAGCTGCCCCCCACTTGGCTGTTATTCCCCGCCCCCCCCTATCCCTGCTCAGGCTCTAGCTGGGCACTAGGTTGACCTCCCAGCTCCTGCTGAGCCCCAGAGCTCCAGAGGGGAACTCTTGTTCTTGGGGACTTGCCAGTCCACCCAATTGGAAACTAAATGTCATCACGTGAAATGGAGCAGGGACGTCATCATGGCATCCAGAGGCCCGGCTTAGGCTCAACATCAGTTCCAGGAGGGTTCTTTGCTTCTTATGTTTTTGGTGCTGATACTGGGGCTTGAACTCAGGATCTGGGTGTTGTCCCTTAGCTTTTTTGCTCAAGCTGGCATTCTACCACTTGAGCCACACCTCCACTTTCAGCTTTTTGCTGGTTAATTGGATAATAGTCTCATGGACTTTTCCACCTGGGCTGGATGTTTGAATCGTGATCTTCAGGTCTTAGTCTCTTGAGTAGTTAGGATTAAAGGCATGAGCCACTGGTGCCTGGCAAAGTACCAGGATGCGATGGGAGTTTAGGGGCACTAGCCAGAGAAGGCTTCCTGGAGGAAATAACTTTGAACACGTTCTCAAGGTCATGACTATCACAGACCTGTTGTTTTCTGGGTGCCAGGCAGAGTGAAGAGCTTTGGGAGGTGAAGGGCACGGTGCCCCTTAGAGGAGTGAGTGCACAGGCTCACTACGAGCCAGGATGGCAAGGAAGCTGGCAGCGGCAGGAACTTCAGGGAAAACCTGGCACCGGGGAGAAGAAGGGAAAGGTGGGCAAGGCTGTAGAGCCAGGCAGTGTGTGTGGTGGGCCAGGGAGACCTGGAGGGGACTTGGGCCCCAGCCATGTTTGCCTGCTGGTATTGGGAGGGAGGACGATAGGATGTTGGTGACAAATGGAGAGAGGCAGGAGCTGGTGTCTGCGGAAGGCAGCACACAGACCTTCCTCACAAGTTTGGGTTCACAGCTTGCCTCCACATACTTCAGCTCTGTGATCACAAGTCCGGGACCGTGTTCATGGCTTGAGTCCTGCAGTTAGGGGTGGGAAGGGTCAGAGGAGCACAGGAAGGAGCGCTGCGCTGCCAAAATGTCACCTTTCGAAGCAGCATGGGGCTTTGTGTGCACATGGAACCTTCCATGATGGTTGGGGCTGCCCAGCTAGGAAAGGGCCAGAGCGGGGCTTTCAATGTGGCTAGTCTGCTCCTGGAAGCCCTCTTCTTCCCACATCTCCATCTCCACGGATGGCAGCTGGGAGGAGTGGAGCGTCTGTGCCTCCCTCCTGCCTGGGGGAGAAGGCCAGCTTTCCCAGCTCACTGCTTCTCCCTGTGCAGCGCTCTGATGGAGGAAGTGGCAGCGGTGGCCGGTGGCACAGCCGGGGGTGATGACGGAGGCGCTTCGGGCCGCCCCCTGACCAAAGCCCAGCCTGGCCATCGCAGCTACAATCTTCAGGAGAGAAGACGCATCGGGAGCATGACGGGAGCGGAGCAAGCGCTGCTGCCCCGGGTGCCCACAGATGAGAGCGAAGCCCAGACGCTGGCCACGGCTGACCTTGACCTCATGAAGAGTGAGTGCTGGTGGGGCCTGGGCCAGGTCCACTGCTGGCGGGAAAGGGAGTGAGGAGAAGGGAGAGCCTAACCCTGACTCCTTACTGGTCCTCAGGTCACCGGTTTGAGGATGTGCCTGGGGTGAGGCGACACTTGGTACGGAAGAATGCCAAAGGGTCTGGGCAGAGTGCCCGGGAAGGGCGAGAGCCTGGCCCCACGCCTCGGGCCCGGCCCCGGGCCCCCCACAAACCCCACGAGGTATGAGTCTTTGCTTCATGCTTTGTTCCCTTGTGCCTCGGGATCTTCCCTTCTGCTCCCTAGCAGACCAGCCATGAGCTGGAGCCTTACGGCTGCCCCTGGGCTGGGGTCCACTCCTGTAGAAGGAGCAGAAGCTGGGGTCCTCACGGCAGACATTGATTTGCATATTGAGATGCTGCCCTTTCAGGGGCAAGGCCGCTCGTGGCAGTGGCAGTGAGGCGTCTGAGGAGGAGGTGCTTTCTCCTGGCCCCATCCAAGGACAGGGCTGGACAAGGCTGGCGGGCAGTGCTGCACTTGATTTTGAAAACCCAGTCACCTCTGTGCTCATTTGACCCTCCCAGAAACCTGTGAAGGAGACAGCACAGGTGTTGTCAGCCATAAACTGGGGTCTGTGATTTCCCCAAGGTCACCTAGTTACTCAGTGACCCTGCCCATCCTAGACTGTGGGCCTCTGCTCCTGAACTCTGACTTAGTAATTTGTCCAAGCTGTTTATTGAGGTATAATAGCCCTATAGTAAACTGCTCCTGTGCGGAGTGTGCAGCTCAGGGAGTGCTGCACCCACGGCGTCTGGGTTGCCCCTGCCCAGCTGGAGACTGTTCCCACCCTTGGCACGTCTCTCCCTGGCCCCACCCTGGCAGTGGCCTGCAGATGTGACCGTGTTCTGTTGTTTGCAGTTAGTTTTGCCAGTCCTGAATACATGTTAAAAGAATCGTGCAAGCCAGGTGCTAGTGGCTCACACCTAAAATCCTAGCTACTCAGGAGGCTGAGATCTGAGGAACATGGTTCCAAGCCAGCGTGGGCAGGAAAGACTTTTTTTTTTTTTTTGTCGCTTGTGGGGCTTGAACTCAGGGCCTGGGTACTGAACCTCTTTGTGCTCAAGGCTAGTGCTCTACCACTTGAGCCACAGCGCCACTTCTGGCTTTTTCTGCTTATGTGGTACATGCAAGGCAAGCCCTCTACCACTGAGCCACCTTTCCAGCCCCAGCCACTTCCAGTTTTTGAGTGGTCAATTGGAGATAAGAGTCTCACAGGATCTTTTCTGCTCTGGCTAGCTTTGAACCACGATCCTCAGATCTTAGCCTCCTGAGTAACTAGGATTACAGGCATGAGCCCAGGCGCCTGGCTTTATCAGACTTTTGTCTCCAGTAAACTACTCAGAAAAAACTGGCACTGTGGCTCAACTGGTAGAGCACTAGCCTTGAGCACTGAAATGATCAGGAATAGACCCCAGGCCCTGAGTTCAAACCCCAAGACTGGCAAAAAGGAAGAAGCCCATTTTGTGCAGTGCCGGATGCTACGGCCCAAAGGTGTTTACATGTTTTTTTTTTTTTTTTGGTGCTGGTACCAGGGCTTGAACTGAGCACCTTACACTCTTGCTTGGCTTTTTTGCTCAAGGCTGATGCCTCTGCTACTTGGGTTACACCGCCATTCTGTCTTTCTGCTGGCTCATTGGAGATAAGAGTCTCAAGGACTTTTCTGCCTGGGCTGGCTTTGAACCACCATCCTTAGATCTGAGCCTCCTCAGTAGCTAGGATTACACACTGGCTCAGGTTCTCTTTAACATGCCCAACAGCCTGTGGAGATGGGCAGCATTATTGCCACTTATAGACAAGGGAAATCCAGTGTCATACTGGGTAGTCACGAGTGGCTGGTGTACCATCTACCCTGCCCCCACCTCAGGATCACTTGTTCCTCATGACGCCGCTTCTCCCAGGCCTGTGCCTATGGTGTCTTTTCTTCTCCCTTTAAGGTGTTTGTGGAGCTGAATGAGTTGTTGCTGGACAAAAACCAGGAGCCTCAGTGGCGGGAGACAGCCCGCTGGATCAAATTTGAGGAGGACGTGGAGGAAGAAACTGAGCGCTGGGGGAAGCCTCATGTGGCCTCGCTGTCCTTCCGCAGCCTTCTGGAGCTTCGTAGGACCCTGGCCCATGGTACCCGCCCGCCTCCTTGCTCTTAGGCCTCTTGGCTCAAGCTGTTGTTTTCTCTGTCTCTCCCTCCCTCCCCCTTTTTCCCTTCCCCCCTTCCCCCTCTCCCTCTTGCTGTTGATTTGGCCATAATGATGATTTTGTCTTTTCAGTACGGGGGCCTTGTACTTGCTAGGCAGGTACACTACTACAACTTGAGCTATGTCCCCCCAGACTCTACTGGTGTTTATGTTTGTGCCTTACACTTGCTAGGTAGGTGCTCTGCCATTTGAGCCATACCTCCAGCCCTCAAAGCTTCTGTGTTTTAAGTGATAAAAGTAAGTTTGTTTTTTTTTTTAAACCATTTCAATAGAAATCTTCCTGGAATTCCTGGCATGCCTTGCTAGCATCTTAGAGGATCTAGGATGTGGTCTAACCTGTAGGTCTGTATAAATTTCACTAAACCACCACAGACGCAGGGCTCCAGAGCCACGTGAGCTCTTATTCCCTCCTTCCCGTTGGGAAATCACTCTCAGTTCTTTGAAGACTTGTTTCTAAGCAGCTGAAGACTGAGAAGTCTGCTGTTAGAATGGTTTCCAAAGTCAGAGTAAGTAGACTCTGAGGGAGGCTCTAGAGCTTGGGTTAAGTGCCAGAGTGAAGGCGCTTTATCATTAGGCTTTGTGATCCATTCTGGCTGCTCTCAGCCCTTTGATTCTATTTCTTCTTTAGTTCTTCGTCCCTGAAAGTTGACCTTGCCAGATAAATAGCCTGGTAGCTTTTGAAAGGACTTTCATTTCTATATGAGGCAGCAGGAGAAGTCTATGATCAGCACTGGGCTTGCTGCAACAGATGACCAGAAGCCTGTGCTGCAGGTGATGGCTTTAGGCAGCTGAGGGCTGTCGTGTGGACAGGGCAGATGTCAGCTGTGTGAGTTCCAGAGGGAGAGCTAGGACTCTTGAGGACCATCAGAGTGGCAGCTAAGAGGAAGAGCTTTCTCACAGCAAAGGGCTTAGCAGGAGTGGGCACCCTGGTCATGATGGAGTGGGGATGAATAGATCTGAGAGAAGCAATGATCTCGGCATCAGAGGCAAAGCTCAGACTCAAGCCCTGGACCTCAGTTTGTAGGTCAGTGCCCTGACACCTGGACCACAGCCGCCTGGCTGCCCCCACTTGCCCTCCCTCCCCCTCTCCTTCTCTCCTTCAGTGGTGTTTCTTGCCCTGGGGTGAGGAATGGCCCCTGTCGTCTCAATTCCAGGGGCTGTACTCTTGGACCTGGATCAGCAGACCTTGCCTGGGGTAGCCCACCAGGTGGTGGAGCAGATGGTCATCTCTGACCAGATCAAGGCTGAGGACAGAGCCAATGTGCTGCGCGCCCTTCTTCTGAAGCACAGGTGTGGCCCTGTGGGAACGCCGCTGCATCACACCCACCTCCCTCCAGCCCTGCGCTGCCCCTCCTCACCCTCACCGTCCTCTGCCCTTCCAGCCACCCAAGTGATGAGAAGGACTTCTCCTTCCCTCGCAACATCTCCGCCGGCTCCCTCGGCTCCCTGCTAGGACATCATCATGCCCAGGGCGCGGAGAGTGACCCCCACGTCACCGAGCCTCTCATTGGTGGAATTCCAGAGACGCGGCTGGAGGTGGAGCGTGAGGTGAGGGAGGAGCAGGTCTGCCCGGGGCTGGCAGCAGGGCTGTAGAGTAAGCCTGGGCGTCAGGGGCGGCTGAGCTCCATTCCGTGCCCCTCCCACCCCAGCGTGAGCTGCCACCTTCAGCCCCACCAGCTGGCATCACCCGCTCCAAGTCTAAGCACGAGCTGAAGCTTCTAGAGAAGATTCCTGAGAATGCTGAAGCCACAGTGGTCCTTGTGGGTACGTGGGCCAGGTCTGCGTGCGTGCGTGCATGTGTGTGTGTGTGTTACGGGGACAGGTCTCGGTAGCCACCCAGGGGTAGGAGCTGGAAGGACCCTGCTGCTTGTTCTTGCCCATGATGCCTCCACCCCTCTAGGCTGTGTGGAGTTCCTCTCACATCCCACCATGGCCTTTGTGCGCCTGCGGGAGGCTGTGGAGCTGGACGCGGTGCTGGAGGTCCCTGTGCCCGTGCGCTTCCTCTTCCTGCTCCTGGGCCCCAGCAGCGCCAACATGGACTACCACGAGATTGGCCGATCCATCTCTACCCTCATGTCTGACAAGGTCAGCCCTGTCCTCATCCTCTGGCCCTTCTCCCTGGAGCCAGCATCCCTCGATCAACCTGGCTCTCCACACAACCCTGTTGCTGCTGCTGATCTTGCCAGCCCTGGCCCTGGGCTCTTCCTCCCCCCCCCCCCGTTCTATGCCCTTCCCTGATCCCCAACTGTGTTGGCAGCAATTCCATGAGGCGGCCTACCTGGCAGACGAGCGGGATGACTTGCTGACGGCCATCAATGCCTTCCTGGACTGCAGCGTGGTGCTGCCGCCTTCGGAGGTGCAGGGCGAGGAGTTGCTGCGTTCTGTTGCCCACTTCCAACGCCAGATGCTCAAGAAGCGAGAGGAGCAGGGCCGGCTGCTGCCCCCCGGCGCTGGGTTGGAGCCCAAGTCTGCGCAAGATAAGGGTACGCCCATGTAGGCCACACCAGCGGGGGCTCCCTGGGAAGGGAGAGTCTTCACTGGCGCCCTGACGGAGGCCTGGGTTGCAGCGCTCCTGCAGATGGTAGAGGCGGCAGGTGCAGTTGAAGACGATCCCCTCCGGCGGACCGGCCGGCCCTTTGGGGGGCTGATCCGGGACGTACGGCGCCGCTACCCCCACTACCTGAGTGACTTCCGCGATGCGCTTGACCCTCAGTGCTTGGCGGCGGTCATCTTCATCTACTTCGCGGCCCTGTCGCCTGCCATCACCTTTGGGGGATTGCTTGGTAAGCAGAGTCCTTGGAGGGAGGCCGGTGTCAGTGGGCAGGGCAGCAGGCAGCAGCTAAGCTTGTGTTTGTACCCTTAGGAGAGAAAACGCAGAACCTGATAGGGGTGTCAGAGCTGATCATGTCTACAGCGCTCCAGGGTGTGGTCTTCTGTCTTTTGGGGGCTCAGCCGCTGCTAGTGATTGGCTTTTCTGGGCCCCTCCTGGTTTTTGAGGAGGCCTTCTTCTCGGTAAGACCCGGCCCCCTTCCTGAGATACTGCTCTCAGTCCCAGATCTTGGGCCTGATAGCCAACTTTGCCTTCCCAGTTCTGTAATAGCAACCAGCTGGAGTACCTGGTGGGCCGTGTGTGGATTGGCTTCTGGCTCGTACTCCTAGCCCTGCTCATGGTGGCCCTAGAGGGTAGCTTCCTGGTCCGCTTCGTCTCCCGCTTCACTCAGGAGATTTTTGCCTTCCTCATCTCCCTCATCTTCATCTACGAGACCTTCTACAAGCTGATCAAGGTAGGCAGGCCCAGCTGGGCGAGGGCCTTTGGGCAGCAGGGAGCCCAGAACATCTTGGCTTTTCTATCTAGACAGGAGGCCAGGCTTATCTTAGTGTCCCTTGGGCCTGTAGTCCCACGGAGCCCTCAAGCTAGCTAGAGCTCGGTCTCCTTCCTCCTAACCTGTTGCCAACACATATTCATGGTTCACGTCCTTCTTTCAAAAAGGAATACCAAGCTGGGCACTGGGGGCTCACGCCTGTCATCCTAGCTACTCAGGAGGCTGAGATCTGAGGATCGTGGTTCAAAGCCAGCCCGGGCAAGGAAAGTCCGTGACACCAGAAAACCGGAAGTGGTGCTGTAAGCTCAAGTGATAGAGTACTCGCCTTGAGCTGAAGAGCTCAGGGACAGCGCCCAGGCCCAGAGTTCAAGCCCCACAACTGACCAAAAAAACCCAAAAACCTAATACCAAGGGTTACATTCAATTTTGTTAAAATGTCAAATTTGTGAGAGCATGGGAAGGGAATGGCCCACAGGTAACAAACACAGTCACAGCCCGGGTATCAGACAGAAAGGACAGTGGCGGGAGGTGTCTTCTCCCAGTTCCCACAGCTCCTCTGGGCCTGGCTCACACTACACCCAGTGGTCTTCCTCCCTCCCAGCCTGCCCCTGGGCCTTCCCTTAGTCCATGAGGCCTTGTGTTCACAGCTGACCTTCTGGATCATTTGTCTGTGAGTGTTCAGGTGCCAGTAGTGCTTGGAGCCTCATGCTCTCCATTTTTTCACTGCCAGGACTGGGAAGGTGGCTCAGTGGCAGAGCGCTTGCCTCACATGCATGAGGCCCTGGGTTCGATTTCTCAGCACCACATAAGCAGAAAAAGCCAGAAGTGGCGCTGTGGCTCAATGGTAGAGCGCTAGCCTTGAGCACAAAGAGACTCAGAGACAGCACCCAGGCCCAGAGTTCAAGCCCCACAACCAACTACAACAAAAAAGACTACTCTGCCACTTGAGTCACCCCTCCACTTCTGGCTTTCTGCTGGTTAATTGGAGCTGAGAGTACCATGAACTTTGCTGCCATACTGGCTTTGAACCACAATCCTCAGGTCTCAGCCTCAATAACTAAGATTACAGGCATGAGCCACCAGTGACTAATTGGATCATTTTCATTGATTATTGAAAAGGATCAGTTGGGTCATTTTGTTAATCCAACAATACAAGTTCAAGCAAGGTATGGTAGGAGACTGAGGCAGGAACAAGGATTAGAGTGTGAGCTGGGCCAGTGAGTGCCAGCATGGGCTAAATAGTGAGACCCTATCACATATTCTCTCTCTCTCTCTCTCTCTCTCACACACACACACACACACACACACACAAAAATAGTGAGGCCCTATCACATCTCTCTGTCACACACAGGCACACACACATGCTCACATACGCTTCTGGAAGGTAAACTGGCCTTTTCCCTGCCAGTCCCAGCCCCCAGCATCCCGCTCAGGCTGAGCTCTCTCTCCAGTTCAGCTAATGGAGTTCTTTGTGGCCTTCTCCAGATCTTCCAGGAGCACCCCCTCCATGGCTGTTCAGTCTCTAACAGCTCAGAGGCAGATGGTGACGACAACATGACTTGGTCCAGGGCAGCATCCACACTGAGCCCAGGCAACGAGAGCTTGGCTGGACCGTCTGTACCCGGGAGACTCCGGGGCCAGCCCAACACAGCCCTGCTGTCACTGGTGCTTATGGCGGGCACCTTCTTCATTGCCTTCTTCCTTCGAAAATTCAAGAATAGCCGGTTCTTTCCAGGCCGGGTATGTGGGCTCAGGCTGGAGGCTGACAAGGAAATGAGGGGCTGTGTTTGGCAGGAGGCCTCTGAGCATGCTGCTTTCCCTCTCAGATCCGACGGGTGATCGGGGACTTCGGGGTACCCATCGCAATCCTCATCATGGTGCTTGTAGATTACAGTATCGAGGATACCTACACCCAGGTAAGGTGGTACACGTGGCAGTAAGGAGCTACTGCCTGGCCCTGCCTTGCTTCTACTACTCTGGGTTCTGTAGCCCCCAGCCAGGGCAGACTGGGCAGACATCAACCTCTTTCTGTGGTGTGCCCGCACATCCACCTTTGCCCCTGACCCTATTCCTGTAGAAGTTGAGTGTGCCTGACGGATTCTCAGTGACGGCTCCTGACAAGCGGGGCTGGATCATCAACCCCCTGGGGGAGAAGAGCCCCTTCCCTGTGTGGATGATGGTGGCCAGCCTGTTGCCTGCCGTCCTGGTCTTCATCCTGATCTTCATGGAGACGCAGATCACCACGTGAGCCTTCCTAGCTGATGGGTCTCGGGGCTCTGGGAGAATGTGGAGACCATCGCTGTGCTGGGCAAAGGAGCCCAAGGGATTCGGCTACCAGGTTGACTCAAGTTTATTTTATAGGCAGCAGAAAATATCGTCTTTGTTGGCCGGGACAGGGACAGCCTGGCTGGAAGGGGGTCATGCAAGATAAGAGCAAGTTTAGATCATGATGGAATTCTAGTCCCGACACAGGGACTGGTTGGGGCGCTCTGGGAAGGTGAGAAGGGGTGTGCTGTGTGTGCCTGGCCTCAGCCAGCACTGACCCTCCCACTCAGGCTGATCATCTCCAAGAAGGAGCGCATGCTGCAGAAGGGCTCCGGCTTCCATCTGGACCTGCTGCTCATCGTGGCCATGGGCGGCATCTGTGCCCTCTTCGGCCTGCCGTGGTTGGCTGCAGCCACCGTCCGCTCTGTCACCCATGCCAACGCACTTACCGTCATGAGCAAAGCTGTGGCACCTGGGGACAAGCCTAAGATTCAGGAGGTCAAGGAGCAGCGGGTGACAGGGCTGCTGGTGGCTCTGCTCGTTGGTATGTTGGCCTTGTCTCCACTTTCTCCATGGGTTCTTAAGGGCCACCGAGGGAGAAAGCTGAGGCCGCTCTTTCTTCACCCCTCCCCAGGCCTTTCCATGGTCATCGGGGATCTGCTCCGACAAATCCCTCTCGCTGTGCTTTTTGGGATTTTCCTGTACATGGGAGTCACTTCCCTCAATGGGATCCAATTCTACGAGCGGCTGCATCTGCTGCTCATGCCGCCCAAACACCACCCAGATGTCACCTATGTCAAAAAGGTGAGTGGCCACCCAAGAGGGTGGCCAGTCCCCCTCTGCATGCTGGACACATGGGCTCTTCTAGCCCCTCTGAAGAAGAAGGATGGCCTTTGTCCCCTGGATATGGCTAGCTCGGGGAGACACGTAGGCCCACCTCATCTCTGCCCCCAGGTTCGGACCCTGCGGATGCACCTGTTCACCGCCCTGCAGCTTCTCTGCCTGGCCCTGCTCTGGGCAGTCATGTCCACAGCTGCCTCCCTGGCCTTCCCCTTCATCCTCATCCTCACGGTGCCTCTACGAATGGTGGTGCTCACCCGCATCTTCACTGAACGAGAGATGAAATGTGTAAGGAGCCTGCCCCCTCCTCTCCAGTCCCCCTTCCCATGGGCGCTCCCTTCCCAAGGTTCTGGACCGACCCAGTCTTCCTTTCCTCTCACAGCTGGATGCTAATGAGGCGGAGCCCGTGTTTGATGAGCGCGAGGGTGTGGACGAGTACAACGAGATGCCCATGCCTGTGTAGCTGCTGCCTGGAGGACAGCAGCGGGACTCGCAGAGGGACTGTCGGGCGGAGGGAACGGGGGCTGGCGGGATGGTGTGTCTCCCTCCTCCTCCTCATTTTTATTTAAGTGATTAATAATTTAAAGTCCTCTTCTCCCCACTCCTTCAGTAAAGTGCTTCAGCCCCCCACTTAGCCCTGGCCTGTCTTCATTTGGGGGGAGGGGTGAAAAACATAGGGAACCCTACCCTGTCCCAGGAACGAGACTCAACATAGGAAGGAAAGGGACTTTAATGATAAACCAAAACAGGGAGCCAAAGTGCAAGTTGTCCACCCCCCATAGGGGGGCCATCCTGAGCCCCTTGCGCATTCCCTCACCCCCCTTCGGGTCCCCAGTGGAGGCCCAAGGCCTGGAGCTTCTGCCTCAGGTAGCTCTTGAGCTGGGGCAGGCCTCTCTGCGACTCCAGTTCCTCAAAGGGCAGCTGTGGGGAGAGGAGAGTGGGTCAGTGAGTCACGCTGGGCAGCGGGTCAGCCTGCAAGGGGGGCGGGGCGGGCCTCTCACCGGCAGGAGCTGGTAGCCCATTAGGCCTAGATGCCGCTCCCTCAGGGCCCGGGATCCCAGCAGCACCCTGCCGTCGCGGCAGAAATGCCAACGCTCGCGCAGCATCAGCACCACTCTGGAGGGGGGCAGACATGGCTCAGAGTACTGGTGGCCAGTTGGCCAAGGCTCCCCCACCAGCTTTCTTACCTTTGGGCAGGGTTTTGGGTGGGGTTCGAGGCCTGGTCTTGCGGGCGGGACCGTGGCGGGTAAGGCAGGAAGGGGTCCTGGGTCCTGATGGGAAGCACAGCACCCGAACTGCCGACACACAGCAGGAAGTCTACAGGGGAGAGAGCAGGGCTTCGGCCTCGCTGGAGGCCCAGAGCTGCCCAGCTCTAGGGCTCCTGCCCACCAGCACCTCACCTGTGCAGTAGCCTGGAGGCACAGTCAGGTCCTGGCGGTATTTCTCCTCCCCTAGCAGCTGGCGTAGACCCTCAGCTACTATGTCCTTGTGACTGGGGAAAGGGCACCGGTAGGACCCAAGGTCTCATTGCAGGCCAGTCTGTCCCGGCTGGGCACTGCTACCCTGGGCAAACCCCTTTGCTGTCTCTGGGCCTGTTTTCTTCGTTATGACTGCTAAGATCCATGCTCAGCAGCGTGTGGAGGCTCTGGCGTTCTACTCTGCTTCCATGGCTCACCATCCCCTCACCCCGGGCTGTCTGCACACCTGTACTTGCAGCGGGCACGGTCAGTGATGAGTGGCTGCGGGAAGATGGGCACTTGATGCCTTTGGGGAAGGCGGGGGCCTCGGTATCCTGGGAGCTCCAGCTCCACAGCCGTGTCAAGCAGAGAGAGGTAGCGGCGCACAATCAGAGCATGAGGGGTGCCTGTGGGAAACCAAGAATTGGGGAAACCCTAGACTGCCAGCCCCTGGGCACTTCCTCACTCCTCAGCCCTACCAGCCGTCCACCACACGTACCAGTGATATGGTTGATGAAACTTGGGGAGAAGACAAAGTGCAGGGTTCTGTAGGGCAGGCACTGGAGCTGGCACAGTGACATCAAGATGTTGACTGTGGCCAAGGGCGCCACCCCAGCCTCCCGAGCCAGGATTTTCTCAAGGCAGGGTATGAACTGCTGCTCCAGTGGCATGTAGTTCAGCCGCCCAAAGGGCAAGAGCAACTTCTGTACCATCTGTGGAGAGACCAGTGCACTGCCTTTCACAAGCTGACCACAGAGGCCTGGCCCAGCGGTACCATGGCTATTGAGACAGAATGGCCCTCTACCCTGGCATACACACTGAAAATGCAACAGCATCAGCAGTGTCTTGAGCCACATGGGGCTCACTACCACACGAACAGAGGGGGTGTGGCCTGCAGACTTGGTCAAATGGGAAGGGTGAGGCTAGGCCAGTGCTAAGAGTGCTTTCTCTAGAAAACTGAAGAACTGGAGGTTTCCATGCTGTTATGAGAGTTGGCCAAGCCACAGATACCCTGGAGCATGGAGCTTGACCGGAATGTTTGCTGCGGGAGGAAGAGACCAAACAAGTTGGACGAGGGGGCTGGGCCTGCCCCAGTCACTGAGGCTGACTCACAGGGGAGCATGGCAGGGTGGGAGGCAAGCCCACCTTGCTGCTGAGCTGGGCTTCCTGGACCACCAGGAAGTGGGCAATGGCTTCCAGAAGCTGAGGCTCCCTCAACCGGTGGCGTGCCAGGTGCTGGGCCAGGAGCACCATAGCGTGGGGACTGAATTCCTCTGGCCTCACCTCTGTGAAAAACAGCCCGTTACCTTTGGCCTTCAGGCCAGGTCTCCAGAGGACTTAAGGGCCCCTCAACCCTGTCCCCATTTGCACCTGTCAGGCTGCTGATCAGTTGCTTCCGTGGGTACCGCTGGAAATGGGGGCAGTTCAAAGCAACTTCCAACCTCTGACCACCATGGAGGCCAGGCCGCAGAGGGGGAGGTGGCTTTGGAGGGAGGCGAGCCCTCCGCTCCTGCTCCAGGGCACATACCAGGGGCCCATCAGATGGAAAGCCTGAGAGGGAAAGGGGCAAGGGCAGTCCTTGTTCTCACTGTTAGCATGAGTTCTCACTTTTCTCATCTTCAGTTCCTGAGCAAGAAGGTATAGCAGAGGTATAAAATAGGGATCTCATCTTGTTCCAAATGTCACAAACTAGGAAGCCAAACGTGGCTTCCTAGAGCAGCACTGTGTTGGAAGGAACCTGGGGCAACAACCTAGGGAGCTGGAATGAATGCTACTTTCTGTGTGCGTGTGCTGGTAAGGTAGCTTTTTTTGCTCAAGGCTGTTGCTCTACCACTTGAGCAGCACATTCAGCTTTTTGCTGGTTAATTGGAGATAAGAGTCTCATAGACTTTTCTGCCAGGGTTGGCATCAACCCACCATCCTCAGATCTCAGCCTCCTGAGTAGCTAAGATTTACAAGCAAAAGCCACCAGCACCCATCTATGAATGCTAGTTGATGTGACATCTGCTTTGGCCACAGGCAGCAGCAAATGTGCATGGTGTGTGCCATTCCTGGGCAAACCCCTGGGAGACGAGTCTATTGGTGACCTTGAGTCCTCCACTGTTCTTTTTCTACTTTGCCTAGATGCCCACATTCCCAGATGCACTCCTCACCAAGTAACACTGCGAGGTGCAGACACACATGAATGGTGTGAATGTCAAAGGAGGGGCAGTTTCGAATGATGAGCTGACTCAAGTCCTGTAGTGTGGCCTGCTCCACAGGGGGGGTCCGAGGTGTAGACCCCAAGAGCTGGCCCAGACGACGAAGTGCCACAGGGTAGTGGTGAGGGCGCACCTTGGTGGGATTCTGGCCTAACCAGCGCAGCAACTCCCCAGGACTCCTTGCCTGCTCCAAAAGCCGCTGGAGGCCTTGCACAGGGCCTGCACGGGGCCCTCCTCCAAGAGGATGGTTCCCCCACTTGCTGGGCCCTAAAGAGCAGGACTGTACTGGTGGGAAGAGTAGCAGGCCCGACAGCCGAGCAGGAGAGGCCTGGGCAGAGAGCAGGACTCGAAGCATGGAGTTGGGTGATGGAGACCCTGGGGGGGGGCAGTCAGGAAATCGGGTGAGGTTTCGTCCAAGGAGGGGGAAAGCCCTTCTAGCTATTCCTTACCTCACTCCCCTGGCAGAAGAGCCTGGCGTGAGAGCAACCCTTTCTAACTGCTCTGGTCCTTTCTCCCCTCCTGCCCCTCTTCCCCCTTCCATTCTTTGCAACAGCAACCCTGGTCCTTCCGTGTGTTCGGCGCAGCGCTACTCGCAAAGCAATCCCACATGCACTATCTCCTCCATCGTGGAGCTGTCGCTGCCTCATTTCACGGGTGGAGACAAGGAAATTAAGCCCGAGGTCACTCACGGGGTCAGTGGTCGCGCCCAGCCCGGCCCCTCCGGCCCGGGGCGGAGGGCG